CTAGATTGCTGCTTGATTACTCAATTGAATCTACATGTTCATTCATACCCTTAGAGATTAAATCGACTAAAATATATAAAATTCGATATTTACATGCATTAATGTTAAATTTTCAGAAGACAAAGTCACCAACTTTACTACAGGACGCTTACCTTGCGCAGCTTCACGCCCGACTTGATGTCTTCCAAGAGCTGACCGCGGCTGTCGGGCGCGGGGGCGGGGGCAGCATTCCTGTCTACTTTCTATCACAGAAGGAGAGGTAATAAATAGACCCTTGAGGAATTTCGTCTTAAAATTCATAATGTATTCTGATTAAAAGTGAAAAATGTAAATCTATAGTGTTAACACGGACGAGCCACTTACCCTGAGGTTCTTGCCTTCCTGTATCTGGTGCAGGAGAGCTGAGCGAGGGTTAGCAGAGGAGGAGAGCCCGCCGGAAGGCGGAGGAGGGGGCGGTGGGGGAGGAGCCGCAGAGCTCCCGGACAGTGGTGGAGGCGGCGGTGGGGGAGGGGGAGGGGGAGGAGCAGGGCCAGCAGGTGGTGGTGGTGCCGGAGTCATAGACGAAACTGGGGGTGGCGGTGGAGGAGCCATGCCTACGTGGATCCGAGAACCTGGACTGCGACCTCCGTAATCTTGCGAGGAAAAAAACAATCAGATCTATGAAGAAGTCCCGGCATGATTATGCTTAAATGTCAAGAGCAATCAAGCCGTGCCTTCAACCTGATTCCCTGACTAGTGATGATTATAAAGATAAGTATAGATATTAATGCAATTTATATAGACAGATCGAGAGTTTGCGTGGTCTTTTATGCATGAAGTCTCACCTTGTCTTCCCGGCGGACGAGGAGGGAGAGGCCTTGACTGCAATGGTGGCGAGGCTGCTGACTGCCTTAGTGGTGGAGGCGGTGGAGGGAATAACGTAGGTGGTGGAGACGGTGGAAGGGATTTCAGTGGTGGTGGTGGTGGTGGAGGAGTGGATGATGGAGGAGTGGGTGGTGGAGGAGCGGATGCCAGAGGAGGCGGTGGAGGAAGTGGTCTGTTTTGGACGCTGCTTTGCCCGTCCTCGAGGTGGCGGCGGGTGGAGTACCTCTGGTTCTCCCGCTTGGCCTCTTCGAGTCCGCCAGATTGAATGATGAAATCGTAGACGAACTTCCGCATCTCCGGGTCCTCCATCTGCTGCTTTTTCAGGCCGACCTGAGGAGGTTCCAGCAGAAATGGGGAGTAAAGTTTGCAATCTGTTTTGACTCTCATCACTGGCTCAAGTCCGACAATTTGCATAGGATAGAACAATTGTTGCATTACGGAACTCTCTGGCGTAAGGTAACTATGAATAAAGGAATAAAATAGTAACGCTGCAATATAAAATCACAATAACAGTAACAGCTTACAGTGCCGCATAGACATTTAATTTCCTAAGATTCCTGTCCGCATTTGAGCTACAATTACTTTGATACTCACGGCTGTAAATAAATCCTTGAGTTCATCGTCAAACTTCTTGTCCGCGTTGAACGTAGAGAGCTTATTGTCCTGATCGAAACCAGCGTGGCCAACGTGCTGGAAGTTAGTGGGCTCTCCGATCATGTATTTCCTGCAATGGAAATGCAAATGTTCGTCCAGTGGCAAGTGGAAGGATGGAAGAGGACATAAAAAGGAAGAGATGCAAGTCTTTGTCCAAAGAGAAAGAGAAACATGATCATATATCTCTTAATCCGTCTTCCTTTTTTTTCCCCTTTTCTGGAAAACAGAAATGGCATTATAATAGCAACACCAACTCCTTTTTACCTCAAAATTTTCTTCTTCTCTTTGCCTCTTCTGTTCAAGTTGAACTTCCTCCTCTCTTTATGTTCTCTCTGCAACATCGCTTTGTTATTGGATGGCTGGTGGACCGTCTCCTGAGATTTTGCCGTCGTCATGGTCGGCTGGTTTTCCATAGACCTCAATTGCTGCTGCTGTTTCTGCATCCCTTGCCGCATGCGCTCTGCTCGGGAGGCCAAGGTCGGGTCAACAGAAAGGGCGATTGGAAATATCAAGGGGATTCCATTGATTTCTGGGGAGAGGGGGAGGGGGAGAGGGGACGGGGAGAGGGGGAAGGGGAGAGGGGACGGGGAGAGGGAAAGAAGGAAAGAGGGAGGGAAAATAGAGAGGAGAGAGGGAGAGAGGGGAGAGGAGAGAGGAGAGAGGAGAGAGGAGAGAGGAGAGAGGAGAGAGGAGAGAGGAGAGAGGAGAGAGGAGAGAGGAGAGAGGAGAGAGGAGAGAGGAGAGAGGAGAGAGGAGAGAGGAGAGAGGAGAGAAGAGAGAAGAGAGAAGAGAGAAGAGAGAAGAGAGAAGAGAGAAGAGAGGAGAGAGGAGAGAGGAGAGAGGAGAGAGGAGAGAGAGAAGAGAGAGGAGAAAGGAGAGAGGAGAGAGGAGAGTGGAGAGGAGAGGAGAGAGGAGAGAGGGAGGAGAGGAGGGAAGGAGGGAAGGAGGGAGGGAGGAGAGGAGGGAAGGAGGAAGGGAGGAGAGGAGGGAAGGAAGGAGGGAGGGGAGGAGGGAAGGAGGGAGGGAGGAGAAGAGGGAAGGAGGGAGGGAGGAGAGGAGGGAAGGAGGGAGGGAGGAGAGGAGGGAAGGAGGGAGGGAGGAGAGGAGGGAAGGAGGGAGGGAGGAGAGGAGGGAAGGAGGGAGGGAGGGAGGGAGGGAGGAGAGGAGGGAAGGAGGGAGGGAGGGAGGAGGGAAGGAGGGAGGGAGGAGAGGGCAGAGGAGGAGAAGAGAGGAGAGGAGAGGGCAGAGAGAAAGAGAAAGAGAAAGAGAGAAAAAGAAAGAGAAAGAGAAAGAGAAAGAGAAAAAGAGAGAAAGACCAGAGAGAGAGAGGATGAGGGGATAAATAAATAGGGAAAACGAAAAAAAGAAGAAAAGAAAAGAAAAGAAGAGAAGTAAGAAGAACGCCAGAAACAGAGGAATGAATAAGAGGATAGAAGAAATAAGAAGGAAGGAAGAATGTGTAATATTTCACTGACAAATCTACTTATTTTAAGATTTACAGAAAAATCCCACAGAATCAACCCACATTTCCTACAGTCCCAATTTAGCAAGTCAAATTTCCTAACATAAGACGAATGACTGACGCAAATAAAGTACAAACGAATTTGCGAAGAGAGATGCACACATTTTTTTTTTAATCTCGAAATCGGATAAACGTCTCACGACCAAAAAACAAACATTTCGAAGCTGACCTTCTCTCTTCCTCTTGCGATTCAACAGCAGGTTACTGACAGCGGCGTGGAAATTCTTCGAGTCCGCTTCGTCTGCGAAGTTGAGGCCGACCATCTTTTCCTTCAACAAAAAGGAAAAAAAAAGAAAATAGATATCTGCATATGGATCTATATATATTGTCATCAACTTTCACTGCACGAGCAAAATAAAATCGGGAGGTTTTCCTTTTCCTCTTGTACCTTCCTCCTCTTTATTTTGCGCCTCTCCTATCACTAGGCCTTTCTATTTCCTTTTCCTTTTTAATTTCCCTTTTCGCTCTTCCTCTCCCTTCCCTTTCCCATTCCCCATTGATGAAGATGGGAGATGGGAGATTGGAGATTGGAGATTGGAGATTGGAGATTGGAGATTGGAGATTGGAGATTGGAGATTGGAGATTGGAGATTGGAGATTGGAGATTGGAGATGGGAGATGGGAGATGGGAGATGGGAGATGGGAGATGGGAGATGGGAGATGGGAGATGGGAGATGGGAGATGGGAGATGGAGGAGATGGAGGAGATGGAGGAGATGGAGGAGATGGAGGAGATGGAGGAGATGGAGGAGATGGAGGAGATGGAGGAGATGGAGGAGATGGAGGAGATGGAGGAGATGGAGGAGATGGAGGAGATGGAGGAGATGGAGGAGATGGAGGAGATGGAGGAGATGGAGGAGATGGAGGAGATGGAGGAGATGGAGATGGAGATGGAGATGGAGATGGAGATGGAGATGGAGATGGAGATGGAGATGGAGATGGAGATGGAGATGATGATGGAGAGACACAACAAGGTGACACATATGGCGCATTTCCGTCTCAAGGGGGCGAGGGCGAGGCGGCGCGAGGCGAGACGCAGGACGTTGAATACACAGGCACGCACTCTCTATTTCCGGTTTTAATCTAGGTGGATTTAAAATTGACACTAGTGCAGTATCGCAAGTCTGATATCGTCGTTATCCCGGAAACCAAATTGAAGAAAGATGTTCCAGGATGCAGATTCTTTAGTAACAACAGAAATCCAACATCAGATTGAGCAAAACTGGATTACGTGGTATTGCTATTGTTTTTTTTTTTTTTTTTTGAGTAGGTTAAGCATTTTAATAATAGATAAACAGTACGAAGGGATTTTGCCTTTCCTTTTTGAACACAAATCTTCAAAATTTCACATTCCACTTCGAGCTGCTTATCCCCCTATGGCAAGGATCCAGATGGATTTTTCGGTAATTTGCTCAGCTCTGCTTACTCTTGTGAGCCCACTCTCTACATCGCCATGGGCAACTTTAACTCTTCTAGAATCGGCACACTTGACGAAACAGCCAGTGGTTCTGCGCCGATAGGGTAGAGGAAAATGAGTGAAAATGAAGCGGATCCGGTAGGATCAGTGCCGTCAATTGGCCATCGAGGTGGACATGCAATCGTGTCTGCAAAAGTTGACATTTCCGGCTCTCATAACTCGTTAAACAGTAAGAAAAATGCCATTTCAAAATTATTTCTTTAAATTGAGAAGCTACCAGGAAATATCGATGCAGAGAAGTGCCTGTTGAGCTCCTGGAAGACGATTCATTCATTAATAAGGTAACGGATCTCATAAGAGATTCCGAACATTTCGAATTTAGTCAAGAACAAACAGACAGCAATTACGAAACTGTTTTGAAAACGCATGGGGACATTATGGATAAATATATGAAGCTTGTTTGGTTACCCATTAAAGAAAATGTGAAATGGCAGAGAAAACGGGGCCCTGGTGGATGACTTATGGAAATTGGTGGGGAAAACGAGAACTTTTTGGTGAAAGTGAAGGCCGATACCGTAGTGAAATACTACATCTTAATAGCATATATCATAAACAGTCGCTCTTTAATTGATAAAAACTTTCAGAAAGAAAAGCGACGCTACTTTAGAATTCTAAAAGAAAAGCAACGCTACCTCAGAAAACAGCAAGTCAATACAGACAATTTAAATAGTGCTAATCCAAATCAGTTTTGGGAAGAAATAGATAAATTAAAGCCAATGGAAATTCCAAAAGAAGTATATGACGAGACCGGAGACATCGTAACTGATCCAAGATATGTGATAAAACAATAGAAAAGTGACTTTGAAAAAAATATACACTTCTCTATTCTTACTATGAGTGAAACGGACTATTTTGATTGAATTTCACTATAGTATTAAGACTGCTCTTAGAGAATTAGAATATAATCCTTACTTACATTCAATCATTTTTTTAAATAGAAAGATACGTTTCGGAGAAGTTGACAAAGTGATAAGGAATTCTAAATGCAGAAATGCAGTAAATAGCGATACCGAACCACCCCCATAGGGAATGTTAAAAAAAAATTCAACCTCCACTGCACTCTTTTATAGCCTACTTGATAAACATTTTGAAGTGGGCATTTGTCCGTCAACGTTTGGGAAGGTAACTGGCAATCCTATACCTAAAGGGGCAGACGAAGATCAGAGAGTGCCGCTGAATTACCGAGGGATTCCACTGCTCTTTTGCGCTGGTAAACTTTGCTCAGCTGTCTTAAACAATAGACTGAAATCTTATCTTGAAAACAATTATATTCTAGTTGAAGAGCAAAGCGGCTTCAGAAAAAGATGTAGCATGATAGAGCATATTTTTTACCCTGACAAGCGTTTTGAAAATTCGCCTAAGGGAGGGAAGATATCCATTTTGCTACTTTTAACATGGTAGATAGGTTCTGCCTTTTTGTCAGGCTGATGAAGAATGGAATTACAGGCAGATTATGCCGGGCTATCAAATTATGAAATAACACCACACATGTCGCGTCAGAGTAAATGGGTACCTTACAGATTCCTTTGCAAATAATGGGAGTGAGACAACTTTGTTCAACATTTCTAAATGGTTTAGCCAAAGATATAAATATAAGAAATGTAGGAATTAAATTCAGAGATAAAGTTACTGTCAATCATTTAATTTGCAGATGATGTCGTGATCCTTGTGCAGAATGGAAGTGACCTTCAGAAGCTCCTCGATATAATATATAGTTGGTATATGAAATGGAAGCTACACGTTAATAAAAAGACACAATAAGACATGTGAGGAAGCCTCGCAAACACAAAATTTTATATCAGTAACGGCGTTGGTTTCAAGACATTCAGAAAATGTTACGACGCTTGGGAGTTCACAAGTACTGTACCTTGGCGGCTCCTGAGGGGAAAATGGGTTTCACGCTTCCCGAGATCCGACAAAAGGGAGAAATGTTGCGCCTGTGGGACCGTCTCACTCGGCTCAGTTCCAGCAGGCTCCCTCGTAAAATATTCGAGACTGAATACAAACTAGTACACTTGACTAGTGCGCAGACTTACTGTTTTCAGTGAATGAAAATTAAATTATGTTAAATGTTAATGCAAAACCTAAATTGCGACTACACAGAACGATTCAAAACGCATTAGTTAGTATCGTTAGTATCGTTTAGCAAAGCGAATTCATACACCTTCCATTGATTTTATAACAACTGCCTTCCACAAAAGAAAAGTAACGTTGTAATTATTTATGCAACATTAATGTTTAACTTTAGTCATGCATTCAAACCTTGATTTTAGTGCTGTGTATCTATTGTGCTATTGTATGTTGTATGTTTTCATATATTCATTGTGCTTGTTTTAGTTATTACCATTTTGTATTATGCAAATAGCGTCTGGGTAAGTCTTAAGGACTGGTTGCAGTCACGTAAAAAATAATATATAACGTTACGCTTAAGTAATCAATAAAAAGATTATTTGCATGTCTGTCTTGGTGTGTCTCTTTGCATGTCTGTCTTGCTGTGTCTCTTTGCATGTCTGTCTTGCTGTGTCTCTTTGCATGTCTGTCTTGCTGTGTCTCTTTGCATGTCTGTCTTGCTGTGTCTCTTTGCATGTCTGTCTTGCTGTGTCTCTTTGCATGTCTGTCTTGCTGTGTCTCTTTGCATGTCTGTCTTGCTGTGTCTCTTTGCATGTCTGTCTTGCTGTGTCTCTTTGCATGTCTGTCTTGCTGTGTCTCTTTGCATGTCTGTCTTGCTGTGTCTCTTTGCATGTCTGTCTTGCTGTGTCTCTTTGCATGTCTGTCTTGCTGTGTCTCTTTGCATGTCTGTCTTGCTGTGTCTCTTTGCATGTCTGTCTTGCTGTGTCTCTTTGCATGTCTGTCTTGCTGTGTCTCTTTGCATGTCTGTCTTGCTGTGTCTCTTTGCATGTCTGTCTTGCTGTGTCTCTTTGCATGTCTGTCTTGGTTGTGTCTCTTTGCATGTCTGTCTTGCTGTGTCTCTTTGCATGTCTGTCTTGCTGTGTCTCTTTGCATGTCTGTCTTGCTGTGTCTCTTTGCATGTCTGTCTTGCTGTGTCTCTTTGCATGTCTGTCTTGCTGTGTCTCTTTGCATGTCTGTCTTGCTGTGTCTCTTTGCATGTCTGTCTTGCTGTGTCTCTTTGCATGTCTGTCTTGCTGTGTCTCTTTGCATGTCTGTCTTGCTGTGTCTCTTTGCATGTCTGTCTTGCTGTGTCTCTTTGCATGTCTGTCTTGCTGTGTCTCTTTGCATGTCTGTCTTGCTGTGTCTCTTTGCATGTCTGTCTTGCTGTGTCTCTTTGCATGTCTGTCTTGCTGTGTCTCTTTGCATGTCTGTCTTGCTGTGTCTCTTTGCATGTCTGTCTTGCTGTGTCTCTTTGCATGTCTGTCTTGCTGTGTCTCTTTGCATGTCTGTCTTGCTGTGTCTCTTTGCATGTCTGTCTTGCTGTGTCTCTTTGCATGTCTGTCTTGCTGTGTCTCTTTGCATGTCTGTCTTGCTGTGTCTCTTTGCATGTCTGTCTTGCTGTGTCTCTTTGCATGTCTGTCTTGCTGTGTCTCTTTGCATGTCTGTCTTGCTGTGTCTCTTTGCATGTCTGTCTTGCTGTGTCTCTTTGCATGTCTGTCTTGCTGTGTCTCTTTGCATGTCTGTCTTGCTGTGTCTCTTTGCATGTCTGTCTTGCTGTGTCTCTTTGCATGTCTGTCTTGCTGTGTCTCTTTGCATGTCTGTCTTGCTGTGTCTCTTTGCATGTCTGTCTTGCTGTGTCTCTTTGCATGTCTGTCTTGCTGTGTCTCTTTGCATGTCTGTCTTGCTGTGTCTCTTTGCATGTCTGTCTTGCTGTGTCTCTTTGCATGTCTGTCTTGCTGTGTCTCTTTGCATGTCTGTCTTGCTGTGTCTCTTTGCATGTCTGTCTTGCTGTGTCTCTTTGCATGTCTGTCTTGCTGTGTCTCTTTGCATGTCTGTCTTGCTGTGTCTCTTTGCATGTCTGTCTTGCTGTGTCTCTTTGCATGTCTGTCTTGCTGTGTCTCTTTGCATGTCTGTCTTGCTGTGTCTCTTTGCATGTCTGTCTTGCTGTGTCTCTTTGCATGTCTGTCTTGCTGTGTCTCTTTGCATGTCTGTCTTGCTGTGTCTCTTTGCATGTCTGTCTTGCTGTGTCTCTTTGCATGTCTGTCTTGCTGTGTCTCTTTGCATGTCTGTCTTGCTGTGTCTCTTTGCATGTCTGTCTTGCTGTGTCTCTTTGCATGTCTGTCTTGCTGTGTCTCTTTGCATGTCTGTCTTGCTGTGTCTCTTTGCATGTCTGTCTTGCTGTGTCTCTTTGCATGTCTGTCTTGCTGTGTCTCTTTGCATGTCTGTCTTGCTGTGTCTCTTTGCATGTCTGTCTTGCTGTGTCTCTTTGCATGTCTGTCTTGCTGTGTCTCTTTGCATGTCTGTCTTGCTGTGTCTCTTTGCATGTCTGTCTTGCTGTGTCTCTTTGCATGTCTGTCTTGCTGTGTCTCTTTGCATGTCTGTCTTGCTGTGTCTCTTTGCATGTCTGTCTTGCTGTGTCTCTTTGCATGTCTGTCTTGCTGTGTCTCTTTGCATGTCTGTCTTGCTGTGTCTCTTTGCATGTCTGTCTTGCTGTGTCTCTTTGCATGTCTGTCTTGCTGTGTCTCTTTGCATGTCTGTCTTGCTGTGTCTCTTTGCATGTCTGTCTTGCTGTGTCTCTTTGCATGTCTGTCTTGCTGTGTCTCTTTGCATGTCTGTCTTGCTGTGTCTCTTTGCATGTCTGTCTTGCTGTGTCTCTTTGCATGTCTGTCTTGCTGTGTCTCTTTGCATGTCTGTCTTGCTGTGTCTCTTTGCATGTCTGTCTTGCTGTGTCTCTTTGCATGTCTGTCTTGCTGTGTCTCTTTGCATGTCTGTCTTGCTGTGTCTCTTTGCATGTCTGTCTTGCTGTGTCTCTTTGCATGTCTGTCTTGCTGTGTCTCTTTGCATGTCTGTCTTGCTGTGTCTCTTTGCATGTCTGTCTTGCTGTGTCTCTTTGCATGTCTGTCTTGCTGTGTCTCTTTGCATGTCTGTCTTGCTGTGTCTCTTTGCATGTCTGTCTTGCTGTGTCTCTTTGCATGTCTGTCTTGCTGTGTCTCTTTGCATGTCTGTCTTGCTGTGTCTCTTTGCATGTCTGTCTTGCTGTGTCTCTTTGCATGTCTGTCTTGCTGTGTCTCTTTGCATGTCTGTCTTGCTGTGTCTCTTTGCATGTCTGTCTTGCTGTGTCTCTTTGCATGTCTGTCTTGCTGTGTCTCTTTGCATGTCTGTCTTGCTGTGTCTCTTTGCATGTCTGTCTTGCTGTGTCTCTTTGCATGTCTGTCTTGCTGTGTCTCTTTGCATGTCTGTCTTCTGCTGCTGTGTCTCTTTGCATGTCTGTCTTGCTGTGTCTCTTTGCATGTCTGTCTTGCTGTGTCTCTTTGCATGTCTGTCTTGCTGTGTCTCTTTGCATGTCTGTCTTGCTGCGTCTCTTTGTGAGTCTGTCTGCGTCTCTTTGTGAGTCTGTCTGCGTCTCTTTGTGAGTCTGTCTGCGTCTCTTTGTGAGTCTGTCTGCGTCTCTTTGTGAGTCTATCTGCGTCTCTTTGTGAGTCTATCTGCGTCTCTTTGTGAGTCTATCTGCGTCTCTTTGTGAGTCTATCTGCGTCTCTTTGTGAGTCTATCTGCGTCTCTTTGTGTGTCTATCTGCGTCTCTTTGTGTGTCTATCTGCGTCTCTTTGTGTGTCTATCTGCGTCTCTTTGTGTGTCTATCTGCGTCTCTTTGTGTGTCTATCTGCGTCTCTTTGTGAGTCTGTCTGCGTCTCTTTGTGTGTCTATCTGCGTCTCTTTGTGTGTCTATCTGCGTCTCTTCGTGTGTCTATCTGCGTCTCTTCGTGTGTCTATCTGCGTCTGTTTGTGTGTCTATCTGCGTCTGTTTGTGTGTCTATCTGCGTCTGTTTGTCTATCTGTGTCTATTTGTCTGTCTATCTGTCCATTTGTCTGTCTATCTGTCCATTTGTCTATTTATCTGTGTCTATTTGTCTATCTATCTGAGTCTATTTGCCTGTCTACCTGTGTATTTGCCGGTCTACCTGTGTATTTGCCGGTCTACCTGTGTATTTGCCGGTCTACCTGTGTATTTGCCGGTCTACCTGTGTATTTGCCGGTCTACCTGTGTATTTGCCGGTCTACCTGTGTATTTGCCGGTCTACCAGTATATTTGTCTGTCTACCTGTGTATTTGTCTGTCTATCTGTGTCTATATGTCTATTTATATCTGCCTATACCTATGTCTGTGTGTCTATTTGTCTATGTCTGTCTGTATGTCTGCCTGTGTTTGTCTATGAAACTCAATGTATTTGCCTTTGTTTATCTCCCTGTTTGTGTTTGACAGTCTGCGTTTTTTGTCTGTCTTGTCTGTCGGTCCGAATTTGTCTGTAACGATCAAAAGATCAATAATGACGACGGCGATGACGATGATGGTAGTGGGGGTGATGGTGATTGTGTTGGCTGTAGTGGTGATAGTGATGGTTGTAATGATAGTGATAGTGATGATGAAGACGATGACGATGATGATGAAGACAATGACAATGACAATGACAGTAACAATCATATTAATAGCGACAGTAATACAGGACTCACCATGATAATGACCGAATGAAAACAAAAGCACCAACTTACGTCAGATTCGAACTGATGGAAATGAGGTCGCGAGTCGTGATAAGAAAACTCCCTGTAGATTTCCTGCTCGAAGACCCTCTGTCCTGCAGCGTAGTCGTAAACCTAGAAGACAGTGACAGAACAGCGCTCAAGTCTTTAAAATAATGGGCGCGAGTTCCCATTCCTTCTCAAAAGCTGAAATAGGTTGTTACCAGAGAAATATACGGAAGAGGAGAGATGGTAAAGGCAATTCTTGAGACGGGGAAGTACTGATTAAAAAAGAGAATGGCTGATGAAGAAATAAAACTTACCTGGATGAAGAAAGACTTGCGGATGTTGTCTTTGGTGAAGGTGGCCACCCCGCAGTGCAATTTGTACCAGCTGTTGTGGTGAGGGGGTTCCGTCCCGTACACCTGCACCACAGCCGTTGCTTGTGCCTGTGTGGAATAATGCATTTAAAATCACCGAAGAACAGATAAAGCAGGTTTTTTTTTGTTTTTTTGTTTTTTTTTTGCTCACCTCGGGAAGGTATGGAAGTCCCGAGATGACAGTGACAGACAGTATTATGGTTTAGGTGTCTGCTGTTGATTTTGGCAAACAGCAAGTTTCAGAGATGGTCATTTATTTGAAGTTCGGTGTGAATAGAATATTAACTCATTGATTGTGATAATTTCTTTAAATGAGTCACTGTTTATATCAACGACCCGTATTAAATACATACAGAGTAAATATCCGAGTCTCAGGTGACACCTGATGGCAGTGGTACCTTATGAAAAATTCTTCTGACACCCCCACACTGTTCCGAATCAAACCTACTCATCCTGACAGAGCCAACAATCCTGAATATTACCTCACAAACAGGACATTCAGCTCTAGTACCCCCCCCCCCCCGCCCTCATCCCGTCAGCCTCACCAGACACCGCGGGCCGAGCATCTTGAAGACCGCCTGATTCTCTTCCTCGCTCAGAGTGTTGGACGGCCTGTGCGGCGGCGCCCTCGTCTGGCCCGCCATGGTGACGCCCTGGTGCCTTCGGGGGGCTTCCTTGACCCTGTCCTTAGCGTTCCTCTTGAGGCGAATTCTCTTCGACCATTTGACGCACTCCTCGTCGCACTCAGAGGGCCGACTCGTTCTGCAAAGGGCGAGATAACAGTGAAAACGAAGGGGACATTGGGCCTTCGTGTAAATGTGGAGGTATCGGAGGATGATTCTAACTTATACTTAAGTCCCCCTTCAATCATGTCGCTTCCTCGTTTTCATTGTTTACAATAATTGAGCTATAACTAAAGCAAAAACCATTTCTGCTTATTCAGTCCTTCTTGAAAAATCAAAGTTAAAGACACCACAAATAATTTTGTAACACGTTTAATAAATGTACGAACTGTAAGCAGATCAACCCTCAGCAACGGTGAACGGATTTCAAAATGTAACTATCATGTCAACCTACCTTACTTAAACACAGATTCATACTGCTTAGTCCTTGCTTCATATGAGTCATTGTTCTTTAAATCAGATAGGCATAAGCAGCAATAATCATATAATATCAACATATACAGGTGATAAGGTGATCCTCTATCTTTTCATGTTGCTTTACTGTGCAGCTATGAAAGAGATCTTCATTCATCTGATACATTATCAAAATTCAAAGAATATTCACATTCCACATACTATATGCTTAATTATATTACTTTTGACTGTAAATATACAATCCCAATATATGCTTTCCCTACATATACTCTTCCATAATACACAATACAGAGAGCATGATACAAATGGTATTTCTCGAAAGCCATCCAAAATTAGTTCTCTCTGAATATATTTTCCAAATTTGCCTGAAAGCAAGAAAGTCGTTTCTTGAGAACAGCCACAGCCCACTGACCTACCTGATACGCTCTTCCCAGTGAGACTAATACAAGGTGACTCCCGCGTTCTATACGATATGTCTGTAGCTTCCTCCAAGCGCCTTTTTATCAGGAAGGTTTTTATATCTACTGAATATTATCAGTACCTAGCACACCGGTCTTATCTTTGGCGAGGGTTGATAAGAGTCTGGGTTGCCATATGTCAGTTTAATATAGCAAATAACAGCAAATAACAGCAAATAACCTGACTGCACCTTTTGTCGTTACCTCAAATTTTAGAATAACAGTCTAGTGAACATTCCTGGAAATTCTGTCACAAAAATCAAATTCCCATTTTATTATCATTAATCTGCTGACTATTGAAAAAAATAGGACGTTCGCGCTTCTACCGTTTATTCTAGCTTACCTGATGTCACCTCCCCATTCGTAACTTGATTCTAAATGGAAGTTTTTCTTTTTCTAAAAAAAAACGTACATTTGGTCTTAAATTCATGTCCCTGCTATACGTTTTGTGTACGTGTAATCTTTAAAAAAAATTATATAGGGTTCCTCACATACACAGTCTTAGTAATTAATGGTGACTCTCGACACTTAGCTCTATGATATCATCAAGCCAAATCCACTTGAAAGTTGATTGTATATGCGATTGGGGGCTTCAGTTCGATAGTGGCGCAGTGTCAAGTCATTGGGGAGATTTGGTAGTATCACACAGTTTTCCTATCTTGTAATTATTATTCAATGAATCTGTTGTGGTTTCCCAACTTATATAAATGAAAGTATTAGAGATTATTTATGAATTGATAAACTCCATATTACTTGAGCCACAATTCGCCCCCAGACTCCCCACTATCGGAGACTCCGCCCCTAGACTTCCATTCGATCGCCATAGACAATCGCGCTGCATTTGTCGCGACTTGTTTCCCCTTATTTATGACGTCGTTACATGTCTGCGGAGGTTTTTGTATGCATCAGTGACTGTAGATTTTGCTAAGATTTACCCTGTTTTCGTGCAGCCATTATATAAATGTATACCAAAGTATTACATGTTGCCCAGCTTTCTGATGTGGAGGTTATACCATAGACAGAGGATTTTATATTTTGTTGTTCTGACCATTACACAGTTTGGTCAATATGTAGTATAAGGTAGTGGCAGAGTTGGGTAATAAAACCTACATGAAATGATAGAACAATACAAACCAAGACAAAGTTCTCCTATGGCAATCTGTGTGCAAATGCTTCCCAAGGGTTCTATACGTAAAAGAAAAGGGTAGAAGATGGGTTACTTTCGAAGCAATTTTGATATTTTTCTGCATGAAATCCACTGCTTTCAACGATTCTCTGCCCCCTGGACCCCCGGGGTAATATATATACCTAGCACCCTTGGGAAGCATTTGCACACATATTGCCATAGAACTTTGTCTTGGTTTGTATTGTTCTACCATTTCATGTAGGTTTTATTACCCAACTCTGCCACTACCTTATACTACATATTGTCCGATCGAACATAACCATTATGACAACGAAAAAAAAATGAAAGCAACTGAGGAACTAGTGCATGTTAATGCATAAAGGTTCATGGCTATACAAATATACCAATATCAATATTGCCCAAAACCCTGCTTTTCTATTAATCATTATAAATAAACTATTCACATTACAATGCATATTCTTAATGTGACTAATCACAGCAGACTCCCCTGTATTTCAAACTGCCACTATTCATTGCTTACCTTCTTGATTCATTATACACTGTATCATCATCACTCAGGCTCGAACAGGAGATCCTAGGGCATTCAGGTACTTCATTATGGAAAAGTTTATCCCAAGGAAAAGCAACAATCTTATCCATGGCGACGATACTAATCCAGGGTCCAGTCTAACACAATGTAAATACAAGACTGGAGGAAAAACAGGGACTGCCGCTTCAACTTCATAATAAAAGACGTTTCTAAAGAGGGACTGTTTAGGGTTATAAATGGCTCGTTAGACTGTTTGCGGTTCGGTGGATTTAGTATCTACATCCTAATTCATGTTTTTTTTTTTTTTTTATTGGGGGGGGGTCGTGTATATATTCTTTGCGAGATTCCTTTTTGGTTGAGATTTGCTTTTGTAGTGTGATGTAGCCTTACTTCTCTCCTTCTCTCTTCATTGTTTAAGGTTTCTCAATGTAATTAAGGGAAATTGCTAGTCGTCTTCAGCTGGAAATTTGTATTGCATACACGTACCCACAATCATATGACGGATATGTGTGTGTGTGTATATATATAAATGTATGCATGTTTCTTTACACACACACACACACACACACACACACACACACACACACACACACACACACACACACACACACACACACATACACACACACACACACACACACACACACACGCACACACACACACACACACACACACACACACACACACACACACACACACACATACACACACACACACACACACACACACACACACACACACACACACACACACACACACGCACACGAATATATATATATATATATATATAACACGCACACGAATATATATATATATATAACACGCACACGGATATATATATATATATATATATATATATATATATATATATAAATGTTAAATATTTCAAAATAAGAAATCGAAAGCAGGAAAACTCAATAAAAATAATAAAACACTCTCTTCATAATAACTATATAATGATACATGATCTTGGACTGAACACATTTTGATTATCAAGCCCGTGACAAAGGACTGGCCGAAGAAGACGCAGATCGAGACTAGAAAAGCAAGAAGATCCTCTTGTTCGCTCCTCTCCCGACCCCCCCCCCCCCCCGCCAACGAAGCGCCATGAGATCGAAGCTTGTGCCGTTTGCTGTGCCGTGGGTCCGCCGGGGATGAGGGGAGGCTTCGTGTGTTTAATGTCTGTGTAAATCAAAAGAAAAAAAGAGGAAAAGAGGTAAGCGAAATGTGGCGAAATGCAGCCTGGTTGTTTGGTATTTCATTCTACGTTGGGTGTTTATAATCCCTTCTATTTGTTTCATCGCACGGGTATATTTTTTAATTCATTTTTTTTTTATTCGAAATATATGATCACAGTTAGATTTTAACGTACATGAGTCCTACGTTATGACGATACGTGGTTTGTTTATGCCTTCCCCAAATCGAGTCCAGCGTGAGATATGTGTTGGAAGTTGGTTGGGGTTCCTATCATGTCCTTCCTGTAAAAGTCATTAATAACTTTGTAAATCATTCATGCCCACCATATGGCTTCATTTAATTTTTGTTTTCTACCCTTTTAAAATATGGAGCAATTCATCAAACAGTATATTCTACCACTACGTCATGATATAGCATGATATATTCCATCTGACTCCAATGAAGTTTAATAAAACAGCCATATCAAGTAGAAACAAGAAAGAAAATACGAAGACTGTACCAAAACGTATAGAGTACAGATAAACCTCTAGCATCCCTACCTTATCTTGGCATGGGCCGAGGGGCGCGTCGCTGAGGAGCCGCCTTTCCCTTCGGCTCCTTGCCTGCCTCCTCCCCGGCCTGCAGGAATCTTCCTGACGTCATGAGCAGAGCCGTGCATACTCGCATCGCTGGTCTTCTGCAGGTCACATCAAGCTTATTTGAGTAAGTGGTTTATCGCACTTGGGAGCTGTCAGTAACGATGGTGCCTTTTGTCCATCATTCTGATAACAAGCAGTTCTTAATTAACCCCCGCTGCTCTCGGGTTTTGTTGCCAACTAGCAAACAAAAAATATATTCATAGATAAAGAGGCAAGCACTTACGGTTATCGAATTGCAAACAACTATATAATTTTACTTCCTATCTGTTCAGCTTATTAAAAAAAAAAGTTCTGGCGCACCTCAATCAGGAGCTGTTTCAGGTCGGACTCCGGCGTGCTGGTGTCGACGTGGACCACATGCTGGAAGTTGGTGGGGTGCCCGATCGCGCTTTTCTTTCTGGAACCGAAGTCACATTAGACGGACGGATAGGGCGTCTGAGTCACAAGTCACTGAGTCGGAGGCTTGTTCGTTCAACCTTCTCTTTCTCTTTTTTCGCTCCCTCGCTCTCTGTCTCTCGGTTTCTTTTCTTGCTTTAGTTCAGACTCTCTATCTCTATAACTCTCTCTCTCTCTATCTATCTATCTATCGATCTATCTATGTATATATCTATCTATCGATCTATCTATGTATATATTTATCTATCTCGTTCTTTTTTCTATCTCCGTCCCTCCCTTCCTCCCTCCCTCCTTCTCTCTCTCTCTCTCTCTCTCTCTCTCTCTCTCTCTCTCTCTCTCTCTCTCTCTCTCTCTCTCTCTCTCTCTCTCTCTCTTTCTCGTTCTCTCGGTCTCTCGCTCTCTCACTCATTCCCTCTCTCGCTCATTCCCTCTCTCGCTCATTCCCTCCCTCTCTCGCTCATTCCCTCCCTCTCTCTTTCATTCCCTCTCTCTCTCTCATTCCCTCTCTCTCTCTCTCTCA